TTTTTTTTGAGACAGGGTCTCACTTTGTTGTCCAGGCTAGAGTGAGTGCCGTGGCGTCAGCCTAGCTCATAGCAGCCTCAAACTCCTGGGCTCGAGCAATCCTCTTGACTCAGCCTCCCGAGTAGCTGGGACTACAGGCATGCGCCACCATGCCCGGCTAATTTTTTCTATATATTTTTAGTTGGCCAAGTAATTTCTTTCTATTTATAGTAGAGACGAAGTCTCGCTCTTGCTCAGGCTGGTTTTGAACTCCTGACCTTGAGCAATCCTCCCACCTCGGCCTCCCAGAGTGCTAGGATTACAGGCATGAGCCACGGCGCCCAGCCTTTAAATTGCCTTTAAATCAACTCCTTGCCCCTTTTTGTAATTTTGCTTCTTCCTAAGCAATAATAGTTAAACTCACCCTAAAAAAAACCCATGAGAAAGATCACTTGAGGCCAAGAGTCCAGGGTTACAGTGAGCTATGATTATATCACTGCACAGCAGCCTGGGTGACAGAGCAAAACCTTGTCTCTCTAAAAAATAAAATCCGCTGGAATCTGAAGTATTTTGATAGAAAGAAAAATAAATAAATAAAAAATAAATAAAAATAAAATCCATGAGGAATATGTCACACTAGAGACCAACATTCTTTCTCTCAAGAAATTCAACCTTGGCCGGGCATGGTGGTTCACGCCTGTAATCCTAGCACTCTGGAAGGCCGAGGCAGGTGGATTGCTCAAGGTCAGGAGTTCGAAACCAGGCTGAGCAAGAGCAAGACCCCGTCTCTACTATAAGTAGAAAGAAATTAATTGGACAACTAAAAAGATATAGAAAAACAATTAGCCGGGCATGGTGGCGCATGCCTTGTAGTCCCAGCTACTCGGGAGGCTTGAGGCAGGAGGATCTCTTGAGCCCAGGGAGTGTAGGTTGCTGGTGAGCCTAGGCTGACGCCACGGCACTCTAGCCTGGGTAACAAAGTGAGACTCTGTCTCAACAACAACAACAAAAAACAGTCAAGTAAATCCCTCAGTAAGAATGTTGGAATAAGGAGACAACGAGGCTAGAATTCTGGGGAACATCTACAGAGGAGCCAGAGAAGGACAGTAAGGAGGAAAATGATACCAGTGACATCATGGCAGCCAAAGGAGGAGACATTTTCTAGAAGTGAGATTTGTTCATAGCATCAGATACTACAGAAAATTCTCTCTGAAGCATATTTGTTGGCTTTTCCCATATGGGAGTCACTTATGAGCATAGTTAAAGCACTTTTAGTGGCTAATGGGGGCAGAGGCCCGATTGCAGTAGATTGAATTACGACAGGGAGCAAGGAAGTGAAGATAGTGAGCGTGGACTAGTTTTTCTGAAAATCAGATTCTGGGCATTTCTTTTAAAAGTAGCAATATCAACTACCTTGTGTTAGATAACAGATGTACAGAAGGTGAATGTTAAAATTTCTTTCCATTCCAGCAAACATTGATTGGGTGCCTTGGCCGTGGGGGGTATGGAAAGGAACAGGATGTGATCACTGTCTCCAAGGTGCATACAAGGCAGCAGGAGACACACATCAAGGTCCAGGAGCACAAGCAAAGCAAGGAGCATAATTTCTATCAGAAGAAGGGGCTGGGAATCTGAGACCTCTTCACAGAGGAAATGACATGAGAGCTGGGACTTGAAAGATAAGTAGAAGTTCACCTGGTGACCGGTGGGGAGGGCATTCCAGGTGGAGGAGCACATGAACGCAGGCATGGAGATGTCAATGTGTCTGTCGTGTTTGGGGATGACTAACAGTTGAGAGCAGCTACACTGGAGGCTGCTAGGGCCGAGGCTGTGAAGGAGGTCTTTTAGCCATGTTAAGGAGTCTGGGCCGGGCGCGGTGGCTCACGCCTGTAATCCTAGCACTCTGTGAGGCCAAGGGGGGTGGATCACTCAAGGTCAGGAGTTCAAAACCAGCCTGAGTCCAGCCCTGGCATGAAGCGAGACCCCTTGTCTCTACTCAAAAATAGACAAGAAATTAATTGGTCAACTAAAAATATACTAGAAAAAATTACTGCGCATGGGTGGCGCATGCCTGTAGTCCGCAGCTACTCAGAGGCTGAGGCAGGAGGATCGCTTGAGCCCAGGAGATTGAGGTTGCTGTGAGCTAGGCTGACGCCACGGCACTCTATTCTGGGTGACAGAGTGACACTCTGTCCAAAAAAAAAAGGAGTCTGGACTTTATTCTATAATGGAAATGATGGGAAGACTTTGGATTTTTGTCCTTTTTTTTTTTTTTTTTACGCAGATTGTCACTGTGAGAATTTGGAAGTCAAGCTGAAGCGGGAGACGCATTGAAGAGACTCTCCATAGTGCGTCTGAGCAGGAGAGGAAACCCAGGGCCTTCGTTCTA